GATAAGGAGGCATATGTCATTTACCGTGACAAAAACAAAACAAACATTGCTAAATTTTGTGACAAATTACTGTTTATCATCTGATCTTCTGGAATATAATGATGCTAAACATGCATATGGTAGTTTTTTTAATAAATTTACCAAAGCATTTAATTATTGTTTTCCATTGAGAAAAGTAAATGCTTTCAAGTATGGCTTCAGAATGCCTTGGTTATCGAAAGGTCTTTTGAAGTCTATAAAAAGGAAAAACAAATTGTTTAAAAAATATTTGAGTATTCTGTGTCCGATTAATGAGAATGTTTACAAAAAATTTAGGCATAAACTTAACCATTTGTTACAGATTACCAAACGTAAATATTATGAAGGAAATTTGCAATGGGACTGTTTCAACCAATAATCTCTTCTCTGCAACGATGAGCATAGCCTGTGCACATCCTGTATTACGCTGTACTACAGTCTGTGAAAACTCACGCGATTGCTTGTCGAGCTACTCAGATCTGAGTAGTAGACTGTCATTGGCTAAAGATAATTAAATTATTTTGATTGCCTACGATTGGTTAATTTCTCATCACTAGTAAAACCTGTTTTTCCAATCAATATAAAATTAATAAGACCACTTAATTTCAACGCGCGAAATTGATTTGTTCTTCAAAATTTCCTATACTCGCTGGTCCAGGACAAGGTAAATTTTATATATTTTTAATCCTCGAGAAATAAGCTATCGGAAAATGTTTAAATCAAGTTTATACGATCAGAAATTTAGAAATTAGGAGTCAATTTGGCAGCCGCTTGACTAAAATTTAATTGTTTACAACATGAAAATAACATTACAAATCTTATGTAAGCTCATCCATTTTTTGTTGTAGAGACTTTGTTTACTTATCTTTCGAAAGAAAATCTTCTACGGATTTCAAAAATATATAACATGTCTCGTGTTAAGATAGAAAATAATTTTTAAATGAAGAAAAGTGAATAGACTTTGCACGTCAGTCGAGACATATTAAATATTTAGTTTAGAATGTATTAAAGCATCAAATTTTGTAGGGAAATTTGGTGAAAACTTTATGTAATCTGTATCACTATACAACTAGGAGTTTAAAAATGTTTGAATGAAGTACATTGGTTGAGTATTTTAAAAATTATGCAAAGTTTTGTACTGTTGCGCTATATTTGCATGCCATGCATGCTGTCATATATATATTAAAATATTTTGAAATTCTCAGTACAAAACTTTAGATAATTTTTAAAATACTCAACCAATATACTTCATCCAAACATTTTTAAATTCCTAGTTGTATAGCGATACAGATTATATAAAGTATGTGAAGGTTTGAGCCTCAACTTTGAGCAAGTTTTCACCAAATTTCCCGACGAAATGTGATGCTTACATTCTAAACTAAATATTTAATATGTCTCGACTGACGTGCAAAGTCCATTCACTTTTCTTCATTTAAAAATTATTTTCTATCTTAAATTATATAGTTTTGAAATCCTTAGAAGATTTTCTTTCGAAAGATAAGTAAACAAAGTCTCTACAACAAAAACTGGATGAGCTTACATAAGATTTGTAATGTTGTTTTCGTGTCAGTGTAAACAATTAAATTGTAGTCAAGTGGCTACCAAATTGACTCCTAACTTCTAAATTTCTGATTGTATAAACTTGATTTAAACATTTTCCGATAGCCTATTTCTCGACGATTAAAAATATATAAAATTTACCTTGTCTTGGAGCAGCGAGTATAGGAAATTTTGAAGAACAAATCAATTTCGCACGTTGAAATTAAGTGGTCTTATTAATTTTACATTGATTGGAAAAACAGGTTTTACTAGTGATGAGAAATTAACCAATCGTATGCAATCAAAATAATTTAATTATCTTAGCCAATGACAGTCCACTATTCAGATCTGAGTAGCTCGACAAGCAATCGCGCCAGTTTTCACAGACTGTAGTACAGGGTAATACAGGATGTGCACAGGCTACGATGAGCATGGAATCTTATTTTTTTGTACTATATTCAATGTGATTTTAAAAGCTGTGGTGTTTAAAGTCACAAGTGTCTCCCTTCCTACATCAACCTCTGCAAGAGAGGAATGGACAAGGAACTGTACTTTTATTGTAACCTGTTGTGCCCTCACTGATTTGAGTGATTTCATGCTACACTTGTGATTTTAATTTTCAATTCTCGCCTTCATTATTGCATGCAATGTTGACTTCTTTGTGTGTTGATGAAATTTGTTGAAGGATTTGGGAGGTTTCAATTCAATTTATTAAATTAAGATCAACTTTATAATAAACACAGAGTTATACAAACCCGCAATTAGCAGAGCTATTCTAGACGGGAAGTACACAATTTCACATCAATTCAATTCATTAGAATAAGGTATAAAATAATGAAGTGAGATCAATGTAAATGATATCAATGATATCATTACTTGCATTACTTGCATATATAATTCAATAGTGTAAAGATTAAAGTGTGCACAAATAAAGTTGCTATATCTAACTCAGAGAGTGAAAGATTCAAAGGTTACTTATTTGAGTTTTGAATATTCCACATTTTCATCAACAGTGAATGAACAATATTAGTCATAACTGTGAAAGGAGCTTCAAGCATGAGCTCTGACCTCAACAGTATTTTTAATGATAAAGCAACAAATATTACTGAAGATTTTTGGGAAACAAGGATAATATATCCAAATACCTTACTATATCAAATAAGGGAAGTTTTAGACACAACGATTCGTTTGAAAATCTTGTAATCTTTGTGAACGAATTGCTGGGCAAGCAAACAACATGGATTTCAACTGGTGGTTGCAAAAAACTGGAATTAAGCGACCTTGTATTGAAATGGTATCCCAACACCAGATCACTTAAGATAAATGGTGAGGCAAGCAACAAAATAAAATCGCAACTAAAAACTATAGTAAACCTTATCGAGTGAGATATTAGTACAAGCCTAACACTGACCTCAATGAAGATAAAGCTATCTCTAACAGTAGAACTGATGTGGGAACCCATGAAATAGTAAGTGATTACATACAAAATCTTGAAGAGTGATTCGAGCTCAAATTTGAGCATCTTGTAAGAGAAATACAGGAGTTAATCAAGTACGTGGGAAAGGCCATGACTCGCACAGCAATACTGGATCAGACGGAGAGTACAGAGATTTCCTCAGAATGAAAATTCCTCACTAATCGAACAAATTAATAATTATAGACTTATAGTATCGGATATGAACGTTAAAATCAAGGACTTAAATAACGAGAAAAACAGCCTAATTACTGTAATTAAGATTCTACAGGAGGATCAACATAATGAACAGCCATGGAGTGTTGAAACCAAACAAAAGAAGATCCAAAGACAAAGCATACCACCCACCGATAAAACATCAAACAATGGCGAACCATTAAGATCAAACAATCGATATTCCATTTTAAGTGACACAGACAATGAACACAAAGTTGTTATAACATCTCAAGTGAGTAAACCCCTGGACAGAGATAATCTAAAACAACATAATAACAAGAATCAAGCGCGTCACAATGCCAAACAACCTAGTGAGGAAGAAAAACGAATGAATGAATATGCCCAAACCAAAAGAACTGAACCAAAGAGTCAACAAAGCGACCAGGAGAGATGTGATAGGCATGATTCCCAATTCAATAAACCCAGAGTTGCTATACTAGGAGATCCTATGCTTAAACATTTGAATATCAAAAGAATGCAAAATGGACTGAGTAAACAGAAAATTAATATTAAAACATTTCCAGGTGCAGGAATTGATCAAATGAAACATGTCGTTCCTACCCTGAACACAACGCCGGACAAACTTATTCACATTGGAACTAATGACCTCCATAACAAAACACCAGATAACCAACTGAAGTCAATAAATAATCTTGGGCAGACAATCACACAACAGAACAAGGATAATCACTGATATGGTCAGACCTTGGAAAACATTACTTTTTTTATAATTACTAATGATGACACCAGCCCAACAACACTTGGTCATGCTATATGCAAATATTTTCATGTTCTAGATTGTGAAAACAATCAATTTCTCAAGAAATGAGTAATGATTATTTAAAATTTGAATAGCATAACCAAAGTTTCAGGCTGATAACTAAGTGAATGGTGTACTGATTATCTAAGAATGTATTATAGTAACCGTAGAAGTCAAGACATTTTGCAAATAGTGATTTGAGTGTTCTTTTGTGGGTATCACAGACTTATTTTGGTGCCATACTATCCTTGGAGAGTAAGAAATGTTGGAAATTGGTATTGATAATATGTTGCAGCAATGAAAAAGGACCTTTGATAAGGGTATTTGTTCCATGTGAGCACAAAATGAAAATTTTACTCCACTACATAGTTTATTAAAAAATTCAATAAAAATACTTCCATTTATGCTACATGCATGAAACTTCGGGTACATGTAGATCACAACCGGATCTTTCAGTTACATTCATAAAATGTTTGACATATTTGAAATTTGAACCAGTAAATACATTTACGCATAATTGCAACATTTTTTTATATCATAATTTATGCGAGTAAATCGTTAACCAAGCTCGGGATGAAATTGGTATCGTTGGAAAGCAGAAGACCTCCTCTTTCGAATGATGCAATTTCTGTTTCCGTACGATGTATAGTTTGAAAGATATATGCATTTAAAACAACACCACTCAAAATTGCTACTTTTCGACCAGATGAGAATGAGTAAAATGGGGAGGGTCAGACATGAAGGACAAAGGGAGTTTGGAAAATGGGTTATTTGTTTGGCTTGTCGTTTCATTGCAACCGTTCATTGCCATGAAAGTTCTATTCTCAGAAGCGCCATCACAACATGTCAGAATGACTTTCCAAAATAATCTGTTTAAGTTTAGCCTGCGAACAGGCTCTTTGAATTGAATTAGAGCCTGCCGGTTTAGTCAATAAAAATATGCCTGTGCCCATCACTATTTATAGTGTTGTCAATCAAATGTAAAATACAATTAACAAATTAATACAGACACGCCTTATGTAATAGCCTGTGAATATATGTAAACAAAACGCAAATCTCGATTTCAACGCATGATTGTTTACAACAAGTCTGTAATGTCAAGTTGGAAAGAAACTCCAAAAACATGTACATGCAAAAATGGATGAACATGTGAATGAATTTTGCTGTTGTTGCAATGCTTCTTTAAAAGTAACATACGGAGATACATGGAAGTCCAAAAGTATTACTTATACTTTTGTATTTGAGCGAAAACTTTTAAAAGCACTTGTCTTTCTTTCAAACAACCCTAAAATTCCCTGAAGAAGCAATAGTAAGTGAATTCACCTAAACACCGCAACGACTTGAGTTTGAACAACTATTTAAGTTTTGAGCTGATATTCCTCTTGTTAGAAAATAAGACGTTCAGGGTGTTAGCTACAGTAAAAAATTCTGCATTAAGGGACCGCTCATTATTTATGGAAGGGGGGGAGGGGAATTTTTTCTTTTCGAAATCTTGAAAATTGAAAGCCCCCCCTAAAAGAGCAGAAATTTAATGATGACCCCCTGCATATTAGAACTTTTTCTTTGACCCCCCCATTTTCATTTTTACTCATCAAATGGGGATACCCAGGCGTTATAGTGTTAATTATTACATAAGAATATGGAACTGGCAAGATATTAACATGGACCAAAAATATATATTATAATATTGGCAGAAAATTATAATTAAAAGGAGTATTTTTATATAGAACACTGGTCTGGGCGATTGTAACCATGTTTAAGGCTGCAACTAGACTTGATGGTACGAAATATTGCCATAGCAGCTGCACGGCAACAATGAGAGTAACAATCAGCAGTAATATTAGCAGCAAAAGGAGATAGCAATGACAATTTTGCCAAGGCATACCTACAAAATACAATGTATAGTGGTCTATACATCCTATTTTATGTGAGATTAAAAATTATATAAAATA